GTGCAGGAAAGGAGAAAACCGTCAGAGAAGGGGCCTGCCCAGGGGTTCCCAGCCAATCCCTGTCCCCTCGGACTCCCCGTCAAGCCCAGGAAACAGCAGAGGACTCACAGAATCCCCTCCTCTTCACCCTCCACCCTGCCTTTCAGTCTCCGTGCTGCCTGCCTGTCCCTGTCACTTCTCCAGGGCCACTGCACCCGAGCACTAGCTCAAAGAGCTACTCCTGAGACGCAGTGGGAAGCCCACTCCAGGTGGCCCAGACTGTGAGCCCTGCTGAGCCTCGGCCCAGAGAGAAGGGTCTGATGGTGGCTTGTTGGAGGTGTGGATGGTCGCACAGCTGGGGCTGTGTCACTGGACGTCAGGGTGGGAGCCTGGGGGTCTGGGGGTCTGTGGAGTTGGGTAAATAGGGGCTAGAGATTCCGCATCCCGGGTGGCAAGAACTGACCTGGGAAGCATGCTGGGCCATGTCGTCTTGGGCCACAGGCTCTCAGCCATCCACCTCCCTGTCTGTCCTGTGTGGCAGTGGGCACCCTGTACAGAGGCCCGTGTCACAGTGGCTCTTTCCCCTAGGAAGGTCATTAGAACAGGGACGGCCGAGTGTAAGGATGGCATGTCCTTGAAGCTGAGCCCCTGAGATGCCTTTCAGAGAGCTTGGGCGTTCCCATCCACCCACCGGAAGAGCCGCCCTCAGCCTTCATCTCGACTCCTTTCCTCCCTCCTCGTGCCTCGAGTGTACGGCCGCACCTGCATTTTCATCCATTCTAGTCACATGGGGGTGTTGTCAGAGGCCAGTCAGCCATGTACAGTTTTTCCTTGCGGATCTTCTAGCAGTAAAGGATTCCAACAGGTGGAAAGATGAGGACAGGGAAGGAAAATGGGCAATGAAAACCGCATGTGGGGGTGGGGGGCGGCGGCAGGAGCTGAGCCCAGCACTGGGCGCACTAGCTGAGGCCTTAAATACCAGGACATTGGTCAGCTCTTCCCCGTGGGCAGAGGAGACAGCACCGGGAGAGGTTCTGCACGAGTGGAGGCCAGAGCAGGTACTGGTGCCTTAGAAACTGGGTCACTTTATTCCCGGTGATGCCTGAGGACCTGAACTAGGTTAGTGCCATGTGGCAGGGCTCGTGCCAAGGTGGTGGGCATTGGTGGAGACAGCGTGAGCCCGTGCGCCGGCCTTTGCATCTGGCTCAGTGAGACCCGGGAGGAGTGGGGACGGGGCAGGTGTGCCCTGGGCGTGGCTCCTCAGCGCCTCTGGGAGGTAGGCACAGCCGCTTTAGCGCCTGGTGACCCAGCGCTTAGGGCCCTGCCCAAGGGAGTGAGTGTGGAGGAAACAATGTAGGATTTCTCTAGGGTTTTTGGTGGTTGCCTGTCATCGTTGGGATTCTGGCTCCTACCAGTGCCACCGGACAGAGTAGAACTGCCCCACAGGGTCTTCGGGGCTGGAATCTTTAGGAAAGATTGCTATATCTTTTTCCCACCAACCGCCAGCCTTTCAGTTCGCAGCCCAACACTTAGCCACTGCGCTACCACCGCTACCACTGGAGCCCCTTTCTTTAGTTCCAGAGACCGACTCGAAGTAGGTTCTGGAGTTTGGCAGTGACACCAGGCCTGGGCCCGGCCCCTGCAGCCTGGTGTGCCAGGCCCAAGGCGTGTGCCAGGGGCTTCAAGGCGGTGCTTGGAGTGGGAACGCTGAGAACCCAGCCTGCGTCCGTGTGGGCCATGGCCACGTTGGTGCGGCCTGTTGGCGTCTGTGAAAGAGACTTGACGGCCAAGATTCTGGGGCGTGGGGGCAGAGAGGGTGGCTCCTGCAGGGTCTCTTCCTGCCTTTTTGCCTGGGCCTGATTAGGGGCCCTAGGGGAATGGGGTTTTGGCTCCCAATTATGAAAGCTATAAAATCAGATTCATTAGATGTGTCATCAGCGTTTGGCAGACCTAACATCGGTTAGATTATTTTTTCCCCACTTTGCAAGAATTCTCTATGATGCACATGTTGTTGTTGTTGTTATGTGCCGTCGAGTCAAACCCGACTCATAGCGACCCCTCCTTGGGTTTCCAAGGCAGTATCACTACGGAAGTAGGATTGCCCAACCTTCCTTCCGAGGAGTGGCTGGTGGGTTTGAACCGCCAGCCTTCTGGTTAGCAGTCAAGTGTCTTAGGCACTATGCTACCAGAGCTCCCTATGATGCACATAGTTCAATTAAATGGTTTATTTTTAGCCAAATAATCAGAAGGAAGTGTGTATGTACATGTACGTGTGTGCATGTATATGTGTGCATGCATATGTGCATGTGTGTGCATGTGCACCCTAGTATGTGCATATGTGTGTTGTATGTGTGCACATGTGTGTGCATGCCTGTGTGCATGTACATGCTATGTGGGGGGGGGTCTAAGCATACACATATCTATAAGTAATTAAGTATTGAGGACCCAGGGCCGCCCCGTGGTCAGTGGTGACAAGAAGCCCTGGGGTCCTGAGTCAGGAGATGTCCCATCCTGTGGGGAGCTACCACGCAGTGCAGATAGCGAGGGCACACTATGGCACCCCCGGGGTGGGGCTTATGACAAGCAGGGATATTAGTGGATACGTATCCGCAGACACGTACACCTGCTGTCCACCCGTCCCGGTGCAGCAGGACTGCCACCGTGTCATTGCGTGTCACCCTCTGCGCTGCTGGTCTGGGGCCCGGACGCAGCTTGGAGGACGGCCCTTCTCTGTGACCTTTTTCCAGAGTCCAAACTTCTTGGACTAAAGTTTGGGCCCCCACGGTGGGATGCACACGAGCAGTGTGGGCACGAAGTGGACGGGGCGGGGAGGGTGCTGCGCCCCTCACTCCTCCCTTCTGTGATGGAAGGTAGGGGGCAGGCACCATGGGACCCCCAGGTTCCAGAGCCCCAGTGAGTACGGAGTCATCCGCCACGTTAGTGTCGCCCGTGTGACGGGAAGACTCGCCTCCGCCGTAGGGGAGGGGAGGGCTGCTCTCCTCGTCTGCTTGTCCGTTTGCCGCCCGCTGAGCCTCTGCTTCCCTCCGCAGAACCTGTGGGGCCATGGCCACTCCCTCCGCTGCCTTCGAGGCCCTCGTGAACGGGGTGACGAGCTGGGATGTCCCTGAAGACGCCGTGCCCTGTGAACTGCTTCTGATTGGAGAGGCTGCCTTTCCGGTGATGGTGAATGACGTGGGCCAGGTCCTCATCGCTGCCTCCACCTACGGCCGGGGCCGCCTGGTGGTGGTGGCCCACGAGGGCTACCTGATGCAGGCCCAGCTGGCACCCTTTCTCATCAACGTGGTGGGCTGGCTGCGCGCCTCTCCGGGGGCCCCCATTGGGGTTCACCCATCCGTGGCTCCTTTGGCCAAGACCCTTGAGGGCTCCAGCATGGAGGCCAAGATAGAGCCAGAAGTCAAAGCCTCCCTGGGGGTGTACTGCATCGATGCCTACAATGAAACGATGACTGAGAAGCTGGTCCAGTTTGTGAAGCGGGGAGGGGGTTTGCTTATTGGGGGCCAAGCCTGGGACTGGGCCAGTCAGGGCGAGGATGAGAGGGTCTTGTTCACGTTCCCTGGGAACCTTGTCACTAGTGTGGCTGGCGTGTACTTCACTGACAACAAGGGAGACACGAGCTTCTTCAAGGTCCCTAAGAAGATGCCCAAGATCCCCGTCCTAGTCAGGTAAGTCCATGAGCCAGCAGGGAGCTGCCTCACCTTCGGGTTGCTCCCAGGCCAGTGGAGGGGGATTTAACACTAGGCATGGATTCACCTAAATCATCAGCTAACAAAACCCACTGCTGTGGGGTCCCCGGAGGAGAACTGTGCTGGACGCTTTCCAAGGCTGTCAATCTTCATGGAAGCAAAGCCCAAACCACACCCACTGCCGTGGAGTCGATTCTGACCCACAGCGCCCCTAGAGGACAGAGTGGAACTGCCCACAGGGTCTCC